ACGCTCTGCCGGGCAAGGGCAGCACCAGGTCCCCGCTGCCCCGGCCCCGCCGCTGTCCGTCGCTCCAGGCCGCGGAGCGGGGTCCGAGCCGGACACGGGTGTGTCCTGCCACGGCACGGACACCTCCATCGAGCCGCGCCGCCTCCGCGGACACGCGGTGCGCCCCAACAGCACCGCAGAGCCGGGGTGTGCACAGACAGCTCCGCCTTGGAGCTCTGCAACCTCCACAACGCTCCAGCCTTGGAGAAACGTCTGGTTCCCACCATGGCAGCACCGTCCGGTTCTGACCCGGCAGCACCAGGTGGTTCTGACCCGATAGCACAGCTCAGTTCCAAGCCGGCAGCACCAGGTGGTTCTGACCCGACAGCACCATCTGATTCCAACCTGGCAGCACCATCCGGTTCTGATCCAGCAGCACCGTCCCTGCCGAGCCCCCTGTGCCCCCCGGGGCAGGGCTGTGCCACAGACAACCAGAGACAGCCCCGAGCTCAACGCACCCTCCGGGGCTGGAGCCTGCCACAAGCCTGGTGTGACCACCACTGCCACCAAACCGAGCCACTGTGGCACCACGGCCGGCCCAGCACCGGCACCGGCACCGGCACAGCCACACCGCGGATCCACTGCTGGAGCCCAGAGCAGCGCCAGGGCGGCTGTGCCCATCTCACACCTCAGTGACTTGGCACAGCCCACGGCTGCCCCGGGAGGGCTCGGCAGCACCACAATCCGTGCCCGGATCTCTCTCCACAAACTGAGCCACGCCAAACCATGGCAGAGCCACACCAAACCATGGCAGAGCCACGCCAAACCATGGCAGAGCCACACCAAACCACGGCAGAGCCACGCCAAACCATGGCAGAGCCACACCAAACCTTGGCAGGGACAAGTCACACCGTGGCACAGCCACGTCAAACTTTGGCACAGCCGCATCAAACCTCAGCAGGGACACGCCAAACCTTGGCAGGAACATGCCAAACCTCGGCAGAGACACATCCAACCTCACCAGGGACATGCCAAACCTCGGCAGAGACACATCCAACCTCACCAGGGACATGCCAAACCTCGGCAGAGACACGTCCAACCTCACCAGGGACATGCCAAACCACAGTGCAGCCACATCACACCGTGGCAGGGACACGCCACCACGGCGCAGCCACGCCACGGCACAGCCACGTGGCACCTCACCAGAGCCAGGACACACCACGGCAGAGCCACGCAGGCTCCTCCACCACCGCACAACCAAACGCCGACTCGGCCGATCGGCACCGGCTCCGCCTGGAGAGCCGCGGCCCCTCTGCCGAGCATCCCGCGCACCCTGCCCCGGCCGGGGCGGCGGGGCCACGCTCTTCTTGGACACCACGAGCCCCCACGCACCCCTGGGAGCGCGGCACGGGCCTGGCCGTGGCCTGGGGAAGCAGCACAAGGCAAAGAGCCGGAGAGAGCCGAGGCGGTTAGTGCCGGGAGAGCCAGAGGCAG